ACTTTCTTTGAAAACCCCTTATTGCTGCCAAACAAGCGTCTTCCATTTACTGGATCTGACGATTCTGAACAGTTTCATCCTGCGGTGCGAAACTGTCACATAGGGACTTTCGTCTTACCCTTATGCGCAACATGCTGGAACATGCTGTAATGTGTCGCTCCCAACCACAACGCCCATTAGGTCGACTTCCTGCTGTCATCCACAGTATTTTGCCTAGAGGAGGCCAATCGACATCACTGGCCAACCTCCTCTTGTGCCATGAGAATGAAATGCCGTGTTTGTTCTGCACATGGAAAGAGGAAACGTGTTCAGACGAAGTGCGAAAAATGGGATGTGCGACTGTGCATTCTCGGGTGCTTCAAACAGTACCACACGAAAGCAAAATTTAGTTAGACGACGCAGGGGAGTAGCCTGTACAACCATGAAACAGATAACAACAACAACAACAACAACAAAAAAGGTATTGTACATTGCATTTACTGCCAAAGAAGTAACGGGATGCTTTTAAGCCATTTAGAAAAGAACCGGGATGCCGTATCCCGCCCCACTTCAAGCCCTGATTAAAACATAAGAAGAACGACTCCCATAGCGGATGAATGGCATTACACACGAGTTTGATATACGACATGTAAGATGATAGATCTTAACAAGTTTTAATATATGAATTTTATTATTGAGCAACGACGAACACACATTTTATATCATTTTATAAATGGACACTTAATGGCAGGCAGTGCAATGGTTTAACCTGAGGATGGCAGAGTGATGCCGAAACATGTAGTGTGAAGTGACAAGTGAAATTATATGCACTAAAAGACGGTTAATATATGCACATTATGGATACGAATCAGTGCAACAGGACGCTAAAATACAACATTATTAACATTAGAATTTACTTATACTTTTTATGTTATGGTCATTCAGGTTTTGACACTCTGTATTCTTGTAGGTGGTTACCAACATTCTGGAGGTACTTCGACTTTGAAACTCAGTATTCAATGCCTACCCTGAAGATAGAGGCAGTGAACTCCTCTGAGTCTAGTGTCACAGTCTAAATTTTCGCCAACTTCAACAGAATGCAGGACAAAACCGTAACATGGCTAACTGGCCGTTTGAAAATGTGGAGAAATTCACATATTTGGGAATGCCACTAACAAATCAAAATTGCGTTAATGAGAAGGTTAAGCGTAGATTAAATTCGGACAAAACCTACTACCATTTAGTTCTCTGAACTGCTGCTACTTAGGAACCTAAAAATTCCGATATCCAGAACTATAAATTTACCTATGTTTTATATGGGTGTAAAACTTGGTTGCTCACATTAGACGAACATTATACCTCACAACCATCATGCCACTCCGACCAGTAATGATAAATAATATGAGAATCCCCGTTAATTCCCACTGCCCCAACTCCAGTCAACCAGCACTGCTAACTCTGCCAAATACATTACGTTAACTGTCCCAAGTTCATGGCAGGTCTGAAGGGTCTGAAATAATGACGGCCGTGGAATGTGGTTCAGGAAGTCATTCGATATGCCAATGCACATGGAGAAAGAGAGAGAAGGAACATTAAATACGAAAATTCTACAAAATCTCAAATTGTTAATACACCTCCCTGTAGAGTAGCCAAGAACCACGCTCGTACTGAGCCTTTGGTACCTACCTTGTCAGAGCCATGCCTAAGAATTTGTTGACGTTTCTTCTCTAGTGGCCTCCTGTCGCGGGAATTTCCAAATCGTTCCAAATTATATCCTTTTCAAAGTCTCAAGACACAGTGCTTCTTACCATCACCAGTCTGTGTATTCTGTCCATCCTATCGTATATTTTCCTTGCTAGGAGAACACGTTGAACATGAACGCTAATTCACTCTTGCACGCAAGTGCATGCGTGATCCAAGGTATACTGCACCTGCTATATGACCGTCTATCACAGAGGATGCGTCGTCATGGTCGTCATTGGTTAGTGATGTAGGCCTATATGTCATCATTCAAACTTTATGAGATCATACTTAAAACATATTCATAGCTTCCGGTACGCCGGTGGGAAATTCGAATATATTTACACGCAATTTTTCTTCCGTAAAATTACCTACTCAAAGTATGACGTACCTTAGTTCGTAGAGGCGTCTATAGCATCGAAGGGTGAAGGAACGCGCCGTATGTTTTTTAATGTAATGAGATCTTTGAGAATAATGTGATGGGGGAGAAGTAACAGGAGGCTGGAGAAATGTGGGGCTTCGTGGTTTTTAGTCGTCACCAAATATTATTAGGATGCAAAGAGGTCTTCTCGGTCAATTAGGGGTGAGTTTGTCAGCGTGGTGGCAGTGGGCCGAAGAAAAAGAAAGTATAGGGGAAGTACGGGCCGACCGAAACTTTTTGGCCGGTGTCCTTCACTGTCAGCGCATGAGAGCGAGTCTATGCTACGAACTTACTTCGTCTGCAGAGAGAACATTGGTAGGCTGGCTGCTTGTGAGGTTGGAAGTTGCTCTCCGACTGCAGGATGAATTTAACTGGAACTTTACCTATCAGTCACAATTCAGGCTTTTTAACATCCTATTATAATGAACTAATTTACTCACAGTATGCTGCACTACACTAGCAACGTTAAATTAAAATACACATAAACCTAACACAGTACTAATTATTCGTCTAACAGTTCCACTCCAGACAAGTCACTGTTTTCACCGAGTTCAGTTGTATCATTATCACTGGAGTCGCTGTCACTGCTGTCTTCAGAACGTCGGATGATAATTCTTTCTATAGCGTTCTCTCTAATTCCCTCTTTTTCGATATATTCCTTTTCATTCTTTTCGGTGCGGTCGCAAACTTTTTCCCAATTCTCTATTCCAAATTCACCGAACCATTTCTCACACTTCTTTGCCACGTCATCCAAAGGAAATGAGTCATTTTCTGCCCCTACTGACTGCTTTTAACATCAGCCCAAACGAGTTCATTCGGATTCAAGTCTGGATGACAAGGTGGAAGTCGTAATACTGTGTGTCCATATGCAGTCATTATGTTGTCTATTACAAAGTTTTTGTGGAGGGGTTTATGTGCCTTTATCAGGTCATAGAGCTGAATTTTGAGCATTCCGTCATGAAATGGCACATTGTTCACTGTAAGCCACTCCATCATCTTGGCCTTCGTGGTCTGGCTGGTTGGCGCCTTATTAAACTGCACGTTGTGATATTGGGCATTATCTACAACAAGAACTGATTTTGGAGGCAAATTCGGAATAAGTTTTTCTGTTAGCCACTTCTGATAATTTGTCGCGTTCGATACGGGTGCCATGTACCCTGATGGAGTGTCATCCGTCCAGTTTTTAGGTCTGGTGTGACTGCTGTGAATGAAGGTCTCGTCCTCATAAATTATAGTCCGACCTTCCTCCCTGTACTTCTTTATTGCACGCAAATATGCTACTCTCTTTGACCGAATGTCGTCCCTCTCGATCAAGGCACCCCTGTTATTTCGCGTTTTCTTCCGTTTAAAACCAATCTTCCGTAAAATCAATTTCAGGCTGGTACTACCTCCCTTGAAATTTATGGTTTCCCTGAGTTTTGGAAGTAGTTTCCCCACAGTAGGCACAGTTTCTTCATACACTGTCCGTCGAATCACAGATATATCGAAATCATCTGGATTTGTTATCCGTTTAGGTACAGAATGGTGTTTACCGGGAGTTCCGAACATAGCGCCTTCTTTTTCACATCAAGAATCTTCATTCAGAATTCTCTGTAAACTTCTTTCTGAAACTCCGGTTGACCTGACTACTGACTGACAAGCCTTTGCCCATTTTGACCTAGTCCTTTCCTTTTTAGTTTTTGATCTCAAAGTTAACGCTAGAGCGGTGTAATTAAAAGTTCCTCCAACATGTTGCCCCATGCATGATCCTTGAAAACTTTTTTTTTTTGAGATCCCCATTTATTTGCAATCTGTATGAATACATTTAGCAAATTGTTGTGAGTTGTGAGAAATGACGTGTGGAGGGGAGCTCATTAGTTCCCCTCCGTATATCGATAGGTTGGGGCCTGGTGGGAGAAGGGGAGAAACTTAAGCTAAACTTAAAACTAAACTACTAACTAAGATTATATTTTGAATCTGGTGATCAGATCGATTGGCTGGTGTCGTTTGGGGCGCCTTAGGTCTGGTGGTTGAAGTAGTCGAGTTGCAAGTTCGTTGGGGTGTGTATGTAGTCGAGCTCTATATTGGGAGCTCCACTGGCTGATCTCTTCCTTGATTGTGTTGATTTGAAGATCATGTCTGATGATCGTGTTTGGGACGTACCATGGCGGGTTGGTTATTAGGCGCAGTACATTTGACTGGAAGCGTTCCAGTATTTCTATGTTGGAGTTGGATGCTGTCCCCCAGAGTTGTAATCCGTAGGTCCAGATGGGCTTGAGGATGACCTTGTATGCCAGAAGTTTGTTGTGTATTGAGAGACTGGACTTTCGGCCTATAAGCCAGTACATTTTGGAAAGTGTGAGACCAAGTTGTTTTCTTTTGGTAAAGATATGCTTGTGCCAAGTGAGGCGTCTGTCCAGATGTAGACCGAGGTACTTGACATCATCTGATTGTGGGAGATCCTCATTGTTGATATTGAC